CTGAATTTCTAGGTTTAGAATCATAATTCTCATTTCCTAGGTTTTCCTTTGAAATCCTTCTGGGTATCCTTCATTGTTCTTCATTTTTTTTTGGGTTTTTGTTGATATTTTTTGGGTTTGCGTTTAATCTTCTTTTGACTGTTGAACCTGGATTCTTGGTTCAGAATCTTATCGAGGCATTTCCAAACCAATCAAAAGTCTTTCAAACAACCCAAAATGATCCCGAGATCCAATGTCCACCCATCCAACTTTCAGAGTAGTAACCATCATCATAAGAAAGTCAGGTCATTTCTATTTCCTAATTTTTCCAGTTTTCATTTCTTCATTTTTCTGTCATTCAATTGTTTCTGTGTAATTCTTTTTGTTGTTTTGACCTTCGATTTCCGTTCATTCAAATGAATAGAGCTTATCCATTTAGTCTTTGATTCAAACAAGAGTTTAATTTCTGGGAGGAAAATTGGGGAATAGAAAGAGAGAGCGAAGAACGTGAAGACCGAGAGAGAGAGAGAGTCAGAAACTAGTTTGATCTAAAATTTTAAAAGAAAACTTTCGATCCTTGTTTGTGGACTTAGTCTAGCTCGAGTAAAAAAATAGAAAGAATGGGTTGGGCTTAGCCCAATCCACACCCAACCAGCCTTAGTTTCAAAAACGGAAAGACTGTCCAGTTTTTTTTCTTCGAAACAAATCAGCCAGTTTTGTCCAATTTTTACCCCAAAAAATTAAAAAAAGAAAAAATAATAATAAACAGGAAAGGCATAAAAAACTGGAACTAGTCCAGTTGATAGAAAAAATAGAAGGAAAAAAAGAAAAAAACGGAAAGAAAATAGGTAGAAGAGACTAAGACAAAGACCAGTGGGCTTGGGGCCAATAAGATTTTTTTATTTTTCTTAAGTTTGAATATTTTGGTTTCCCTTTGTATTTTTATTTTTCTCATTAATTTAGATTCAATTTTTTTAGATGCTTTTTTGGAGTTTATTTAAGTAACCTCAAATTTTAGAATTTATCTTAGTAATTAGGTTAGTTAATTATTTGATAAAATTCTTAATTTTTAGGAATCGATGATATATTTTTTTATCAAAAATTAATAAAATAAAATAATAAATAATAAAAATTATCAACGAAGTCTCCGATCTGATAATAACTATCATTTGATCAAAAATAAATAAATAAAAATTCTCAAAGAAGTCTACTATTTGATAAGGACTATCGTTTGACCAAAAAATAAAAAAAAATAGAAATTCTTGACAAAGTCTCCTATCCGATAGGAATTGTCGTTACAAAAAAATATCATTTAATAATCAAAATGTTCTCCGACACATCGGTTTTATCAAGGCTTAAAGTAGATCCGATGTTTGAACCGACATATCACCGGACGAAGGAGACCGATGATCATTTCAATACTTTACTACGCCTAAAACTAAAAAATTTAATTCAACTTAGAAATTGAAGTTTAAATCAAAAAATAACTTTGCACGGATAAAATATTTTATGAGGTAAATTTAGGACTAAACTAGTCGTAGTGCATTTCTTAGGAAAGAGGGTCTTTGGGTGATCAATATCTTCTTAAAACGTAACTAACTCCTTAATTGAGAATCTCTCGCACCAGTGTTATTTTTAGGTTCTTAGTTCTTTAATACTAAGTGGCAACTCTAAACACAATGATAACTCGCATCCCTAAAATAACTCCCAAACGAGATGCGAATCTCTGAAAATTGAAAACTTAGATATTTTCTAGTGAATATGTTAAAGATATTGAAAACTATTCCATGGGCATAGGATAATTGCTAAGAGATTGTTAGAATATTCGGTGTACTTAGTATAATTGTTTTGTATCTAGTGAATATTTTATTGATCTTTTGGTGCATGAATAGTACCCTATTATGCAAAATAATTATTTCAAATATGTTAATTATGCATGAAAATTATTCTTTTTGCATAGAATATTTGCTAAAGGGGTGCTAAATTATTTTGTGTTATTAGATGAATTTTTTAATGTTTATTGAATACTTTGTGTGACTTTTTGGTTCATAAATCGTGCTTTCTATGCAAATTAATTTTTTTTTTTAGTGTTTTAAATGGACATGAAAACTATCTAATGGGCATAGAAAAATTGTTAAGGAGGTGTAGAAATATTTCATGCACTTAGGTGAATTTTTCTATACTTCGTGAATATTTTCGGGAGAAATAAGTGCATTTTTATGCAAAATAATTAATTTGAGGGCTTAGATATGTGTATAAAAATTATGTGAATGATGAACAAATTATTACAGGAGGTGTTTGAATTTATTATAAAAAGGAATTAATTTTCAAAAAGGTGTGGGATAAATTATGCATAGATAGGGACCTAATCGCATAAAATTAAAAGTTTAAACTTTCAAATTAAATTAGGAATGAACTTAAGGAAGTAAAATTTTTTTAGAAAAGCCTTAAAGGAAGGTTCTAAAGGAATCAATTGAAAAATTAAAGGGCTTATAGAAGAGTAAAAGTAGAAAAATTCCTTAAGTTGAGGGACTAAAATTAAACAAAATTGGGAGAGATCTTTCTCCCCATTTTGCCGCCACTTAAGCCTCCATGATTTAGGTTAATTAATGAGGTTTGACTAATGACAAAAAGAAGAGTTAAGAGTAAGCTAGATGGATGGTTAACATTTAAAGAAAAATGGAAGGCCAAGATTAAAGCAAATGAAAGGTCGGGATTCAACGGTTTTTAAAACCGTCCCTAAAAACCCATCGCTAATTATGTTTTTTTCGATAGTGAATTTTAGGATAGTGTCTGCTATTTATTTTCCATTTCTCTTACTTATTTATGGTTTTTTTTTTTGTGATTTAATTGTATGATTTAATTTTTATCTCGTATAATATAGGATCGATGAGTCTTCTAAATTTTAGAGATCGACGATGATCTCATGTTAGACTTTATTTACAATTACAACAAAAAACAGCATCCCTTTTTTAGATTAATTAAGAGAGTTAGGTCGAGCCAACGATTCTTTTATTCTCTAGGTACCGATGGTGGTCTCGACATTTCATTTGAAAAAAAAAAAGAAAGTGAATTAGCAAGTACGAGTGGGCTAGTTTCCTAATGCGTTTCAGTTTAACTAGCTTTTAGTTTATTAAGTTATTCTTGACAAGTCGATCATGTTAGGACTTAATTAAATCCAATGCTTAATTTATGTGACTCTCGATTTTGGAGCCTAACATCAATTTAATATATATATAAGCTTGCAAATAGACTTAAGAAATATTTCAACAAACAATACTTTTAGGAGAGGATTTAGAGATTAGATTAAATTTGGTAACTTTTCTCTTAAAAGAATGTCATGAAGTGATCGTTATCTTTCTAGTAGGTATAACAAACTATTTATCCGCACGCTATGAGTACAATAATATTTTTTTATCCACAAACTTTGAATACAATATTCTTTATAGGCTGTTTAGTTTTTTTTTTTTTTTAATATTAGATAATGAATTCAAAACTTTAATTATTTTTCGTAGTCATTGAAAGTCCCATACATGGGAGGGTGACAATATAGTTGAAATTTGATTAAAATAATAATAATAATTAATGTGAATTTTTTTTAAAAAAATCTTGAAATATAAAACAAAACAAGAGAGGTTTTATGCATGCTAGGCCGTAAGTTTCGGCCGTCCACTGGGGCCGTATGCTTAAGACTGGATGCGGATGACCTGCTAACAAAAAAATTTAGAAAAAAGATTAATAAATAAGACTATCAAAATGACGTTATTTTGAAAGAAAAATATCTTTTTTTTATCTAAATAAAACTATAATAAAGAGTACATGGATAACGAACGCCACAGTTTATTCTGGCTCAACGCTCTTGGTCTCATCTAGTCTTCAAGTTTACACCATCTTAGTTTTTGGACACCATTATATTTTGCACCTTGCGTTTTAAATTTACCTTTTTCACCATAAGATTAGTGAAGTTAACTTTTCTGGTTGAAATTTTTATGAATCTAAAAATTCCTCTAGTTTTTCTTAAATACAAAAGTATTACACTCTCATTTTATCGATTATACTCTCTCCTTTGAAAGAAAAACTTGTGTTTTCTTGAAATGCATACAACCAAGTCCCAGTTTTTTTTTTAAAGAAAAAATTATGCTTTTTTTTTCCCTTCTAATTCATGTCATTATTGCATCAATATGTTTTTGTAATAAATCTTAAAATAAAAAATGAAAAAAAAAGATATGCTTATTTATGAATGGAAACAACACATTTTGTTTGATTTTTCCTACTAATACCAAAAAAAAAAAAAAAAAAAGAGATCTACTAACACATTTTGTTTGATAAGAAGTCAACTTAATTTCTAACGATCAACTGATATATTTCAATGAAAGATCGATGGAAAGTATAATCACAAGAAAAATAGATCTACTAACATATTTTTATAGGGAAAGTGCAATAAAAAAAGAAAAAGATGATGGAAAGCGTAAAGTTATCAAAACACATGATGCAAAGAGTAATGACAGGCAAAACAAAGAATGTAAAGGATATTTATTTATTGAAATGAGAAACCTTATATCTTTCATTACAATAACTATTAAGAGCCCATAAAAATTCTCTCTCTCTCTCTCTTCATTGCTTCTTATTACTTACACCATCGAAAGAGAGGGTTTTTTTTTTTAATTGCATATGTAATCACTTTCAGAATGCAATTGACATCAATGTTTATTAATCCAATTAAATGAATCTCGTTCATATATATATATATATATATGCCATAATTTATGAAAAATAAAATTTATTTTTTAATTACAATTTAAATGAAAATTAAAAATTAAAAAATAATGTAAGTGAAAAAAGTGTTAAAATGAGTTTAAGAAATTATTTTGGAAGAAAATCAGAAGTTAAAATCTATCATTTAATTAAATCAAAATTTTAACTAAACTTCCAATTAAATATTTTATTCAAATTAAAACTTATTTCCAAACAATTATATTAATAAAAAATTAAATGAATTTGTAAAAATAATTGCACTAAAGGAATCTAAGAATGCCTTCCGTATGATTTATAACAATTTACCTTTCGATTTTGAGTTTGAATTTGAAAAATATCTTTCTCAAATAGCTAATGACAAAAATAAGTCTCTTTACGAAAAATAACATGAAGCAATTTGTTTGAAAAATGGCGATAATGTGAATTAGATTTATGAAAAGAAATACGTACAAAAATTTTAAGTTTTGTTTAACGTAAAAAGTGCACTCAAATTACTTTTTAATTTAATTCTAGTATTGAAATGAAACATCCTTTTAACTTTTTAAGTCTCTTTGCATATGAAAAATCTCCATGTCAAATATGTGGAATGAATATATCATTTGAAGACCATTATAGAGATTAATATTAGCAGTAAATATTCAATCTATCATTATATAATTAGATAAACCTTCCATCTGTCTCTATTTATTTAATTAATTGCATCTCTTGTGTCCTCGTATATTATTCAATTCTCTAATATTTCTTTTCATCAATTTTTTTTTATTCAAGTTAAGACTATTTATTCCAAAACTACCATTGAGTTATATAAAAATATAATAGAAATTTATTTCAAAATTACTCAAAATAATTTAAAAAATAAAATGTTCAAAGATTACTCGGCCATTAAAATTTAAAAGATAAAGATTTTAAATTTTCTTCAAAGAATTAAAATTATACTCTTGTATATCTCAATGATAGTTTTAAAACGAAAAATATAATTATATCAATTTGGATTAAAAAAAAAAACTTTATAGAAGAATATATTAGAGAACTAGATATTGTACAAAGACATAATAGATATAATTAAAAATGTAAGGATAAATAAAAAACTTGACTAATTATACAGAAATAGATTGAGCAATTTACGTACTAATAATAAACTGGTTAGACTTAGAGATTTGAAAAACATCAGCATAGGAAAAAATGAAAAAACTTCCACTCTAACCTTAAAGATTGATTACAAATTCTATGATTATAAAACAAACTAAAGTAAAACATATTTTTACTATTCATTTTACTATTTGAAATACTATTCACACACTCACAAATCACTATTCATACACTAATAACTCACTATTCTTTTCACTATTCATGTCATTTTTTAACAATTTGGTCCTCAAATGTTTTATATATTTTTTTAAATTCAAATTTTAATTATATTGTGATTTAATCTCAGTTAGTTTTAGTATTTTTTATTAATTATTTTTATTATTTAAAATTTACTACTTTAATTTGTCCTTTTTTAAATTCGTTTTTTTTTCAATTTCAAACTTTAATTATATTATGATTTGATCTTATTTTATTTTAGTGTTTTTGTTAATTGTTTTTATTATTTAAAATTTATTATTTTAATTTGTCATTTTTAAAAATTCTCATTCAATTAATTTAAAATTATATTTACTCGATAGTTTTGATTTATTTTTCTATATATATATATATTTTTTGTGATAAATTTTTGGAACATGATTATTTTTTCTTTTAAAAGATAGATTTAGATCATTTTTAAATTATAGTGGTATGATTAATATATGTAATTTGTCTAAAATACATTTTTAGATTAAAAGTGTATTTCAAATAATTTTTTCTCAGTTTTTTGATATTATTTAAAATTTATTACATTAATTTGTCTTTTTTTTTTTTTTAAATTCTCTCTATATATATATATTTTTTTTAATTTCAAACTTTGATTATATTATGATTTCGTCCCTTTTTTTTAGTGTTTTGTTGTTAATTATTTTTATTATATTAAATTTACTACTTTAATTTGTCATTTTTTTAAAACTCTTATCTAATTAATTTAAAATTATATTTACTTGATGAGTTTTGATTTATTTTTCTATGTGTATGGATTTTGGAATAAATTTTTAGAACATGATTATTATTTTTTTCTTGAAAAATAGATTAAGATACTTTTAAATTGTAGTGGCATGATTAATATATATATAATTTGTCCGAAATACATTTTTAGATTAAAAGTGTTTTTCAAATAATTTTTTCTCAATTTTTTTATTATTTAAAATTTATTACATTAATTTGTCATTTTTTTTTAAATTCTCTTCTTTTTTTTTTTTTCAATTTCAAACTTTGATTATATTGTGATTTCATCCCATTTTGTTTTAGTGTTTTTTGTTAATTATTTTTATTATTTAAAATTTATTACTTTAATCTGTCATTTAAAAAAAAATTCATATCCAATTAATTTAAAATTATATTTACTTACAGTTTTGATTTATTTTTCTATATGTATGGATTTTGGAATGAATTTTTAGAACATAATTAATTTTTCTTTTGAAAAATAGATTTAGATAACTTTTAAATTATAGTGGTATGATTAATATATATAATTTGTCTAAAATACATTTTTAGATTAAAAGTGTATTTAAACAATTTTTTCTCAGTTTTTTTAAGAAAAAAAAACTCAAATTAATTAATTAATAATTGAAATTCAAATGTGAAAAATAAAAAGAAGATGGTTGCTCTGTGCATGAGGCTTATATTCAAGGACTAGCCATGCATAACATAGAAATAAAAAAATATTTAAGAAGGAGGAAAAAAAGAAAGAGAAAGAATTCACATGTTTTATTAAATTGTTTCTTCTTTATATAATCAAAATTATTCAAAATTAAATTTATAATAATTTTTATTTTAGTCTATTGACTTCAAATTTAGTCAATATATTCCTTGCAAGTTAACTTTTTATAGTATTTTTTATTTTAGATCGAAAAGTCTAAACTCGCTTAGTTTAGTTATAATGTATAAAAAAATACTGAATCGTTATTTTTTCAAAAATCAACTATGCAACTATTACTACAATAAGTATTTATTATTTATTTATAAATATTTTAAAATTCACATATTTTAAATTAAATAATTAAAATAATGTTTTGGCTTAACCACTCAATGATTCAAATTAATGTAGTTTTTTTATTTTAATATTATTCATTCTTTTGTAAATAAATATATAAAAATTAAATTCATATTTTTTTGAAAACCGATACTCTCATCAACATTTAATAAAAAAAATTATTTGTTCAATTCTATGTAAGCTTTTAATAATTGTTATTTATGTTTTTTGACACAATCTTATGAAATACTAAATCTTTTTTTTAAAAAAATTATTTAATTTTCTTTTTAGTTAATAATCCATGGATTAATAAGGATGAATTCTTTTTCTAAAGGAAAAATTATGAAAAACACAAATAAGAAATAGCTAAATACAAAATTTTTGATTAAATAATTTTTTACACCTTTGATTTCATATATTTTTATAAATTTACACTATAAAACGGACTATCAAACTTAAATAATTTTTCTAAAGGATTTTATATATTTTATCAAACTCGTAAAGTAACGCGAGTAAAAAAACTATATTTTATTAAACTCGTAGAGTAACGCGAGTAAAAAAACTAGTCAATCCTAAACAAAAATGACGCAACTTTTGCTTGCATAAACTTTAACTCTTTTATTTATTTTTATTGCATCTCTTTATTCTCTAAATTTTCTTAATTGACCCCTCCACTTTTAAAATTTTTTAATTGATCTCTTTGATGGTTTTTAGGCCAATTAAATATGCTAAGTGGCAAAAAAATTTATGCATGTAATGCTATATCATATAAAATTATCACATGTTAAACAAATTGAAAAAAAATGAAAAATTAGCTAAAAAATGAAAAAAAATGCTATGAAGAAAATTCCAAAACCTAGAAACCCAATAATAATAATAATAATAATAATAATAATAATAATAAAAGGTTAATACCCTCACTTTTCTTCATATAATAGATCAATTATTCAATTTGTCCATAAAAAAAACGCTTTCAATTTGTCATTATATTTTGAACTAGTTTCTAATCTATTATTTTGATCAAAATGTTTGATCAATTTTCAAAAATTAATATTTATATTAGTAGATATAGATCACTTGAGTCAAATAACAAATTTTTTTTTCAAATCACATATCATGTGCAAAATACATACTTAATTTAGCTAATTTGGGACAAGTGATCTATTAAAAGAATAATAAAACTCAAAACCTAAAACCCATAAATAAAAGAATATATTAAAAACTAGATTAAATATAAGAACAGATTAGAATGTTTTTTTTTTAAAAAAAAAATTTTAGAGACATATTGAAAAATTAGTCTATTATATAAGGACATGTGAGGGTATTAACCTTAATAATAATAATAAAACTCAAAACCCATAGCTTTCTTCTATTTTCTCATGAACCAAACAAAAAATTGATTCCATCTAAAGAACTACTTTTGGCTACACTAAATGCATCTAAATTCAAGTCCCTTACTTTAACAAATCTCAAAAATTTGTCTTGAGTAAATTTATGAAGCCTCTGCATTATCTAGGTCTCTACAATCTTTCAAGCACTTTGGACAAGCAACCCGATTTTCGAGTGCTTGGTCTTCGGCTTGGTCCAATAAATAGAAACAACAATAAATTTTTTGAATGAAATAAAAATATAGCAGCTTCAAACAATGTCAATACTGAAAAGTTTGTAGTTCGGTGGTAATTGTCTCTTGTAAGAATGAGTTCAAATCTTAACAAACGAGTTCTGCCGAAACCTTGGATATGTGAGTTAAAAAAAGAAAAAAAAAGAAACATCAACAACCTTTTCTTCTCTCTTTCTCAAAATTTCATTTTATTTTCTTATAAAACCAAATAGACATAGAAAGAGAGAAAATGAGGAAGCAATTTTTTTTTTCATTTTTTTCAAACTTAGATAGGAAAAAGGAAAACCCAACATTAAAAATTCAAACACTTAAAGTATAGAGAAATCACACAATGCAGCCATTGTCATAAACAACTGATCAATTTCAATGAAATAAAATTAATCAAAGCACAAGGAAATTCAAACCCAGAAAGTCCAACATAATTTGTTGAAATTTGGAATCAAATTTTGCAATGCCTTCATTTTTTCATTAATCTTGCTCCTCTTCCTCTGCCCAAAAACACCCCCACAAAGTCTAAAACCCAATTAGTGTGTAAATCTAAATCATAGAAAAGGAAATGCTTAATAATAAATAACAGAGAATTGACATAAAAAAAAAAACCCTAACATTTTCAAACAAATTATGAACTTTTATAGCTCTAACTCTTTTTAAGCTTCAGGGAGGAGTTTGTTTTGCTGATGTTTCATCTACTCAAACTTCCAAACTCTCATGAATTAAAATACAAATAAAAAATAAGGACCTAAAATTGAGATTGTTGAGTCCATAATTTCCTATTCTAGTATTCGAATTTTGGTGATGTTTTGGTTAATGGAGTTTTAGAAGAGTCTGATTTGACAACGAGAAATTCAAATGCAAACCCAATTGATGAAATTATAGAGGAAGATGAGGAGAAAGAGGAAGATGAAGACACAGATGAAGATGAAGGGATTGTTATAGTGCTAGAGCTAGTACGAGAAGTGGTTTTTGGTAGGAAATTGATCAATCGAAGGAGCATGGCTTTCTGGGTTTTTAGGATTTGCTTTGTAGTTTTTTTTTTTTTCATTTTCTTTTTAACTAACTTTTATTTTTATTTTTTTATAGTGGTAATTTTATCTGGTATGACATTAAGTGTGTCAATTTTTTTGCCACATGGTACATTTGTTTGGAAAATTAGTCGAAAAATTATCAGGAGGGCCACATTAAGAAAATGTAAAGAGTGAGAGATGTAATAAAAAAAAGATTAATAGCTCACACGTTGTAATATAATATATTGAGTTCTAATCTATTCTTATATTTTAAAATGAGTCAATTATATCTATATTGTTTGAGCGAATTTTTAATATATTCTTTCGATTACTTTTTTTGATCAAACTACCTAAAAATATCACATGACTTGCACATGACTTTTTCTTTGATGAAAATGCTCAATAACGAGTTTAACATGTTAAGTTTTTAATTTGTCTTTACATAATGGGTTGAGTTTTTAATCTATCCTTGATGCTAAGAAATCTATTATATTATTGTTAATAATTTTTCTAATAATGTATTATGCTACAGTGATTTTTTGTTAATTAAAAATATATAAAGATAATTAGTAAATGTTAGTATGTAATTGTTGAAAAAATTATCATTTAATACATTTTTAATGCTAAAAAGTCCATTAAATTATAGTCATTATAATAATCCATTTATGTATATTGAATAAAATGATATAATATTTACTAATATATTAAATTATCTTTATAAAAGAAAACATGAGAATCACATGAAAAAAACAAATAATTATAATTTAAATGATTGTTAATTAGTCTTTTAAGCATGCAATTAAAAAAATTACATTTAAATATTTGTTAATTAGTCTCTTAAGTATGTAATTAAAACATACATAATTGTTAATTAGTCTTTTAAGCATGTGATTAAAAAAACAAATAATTACATGTTTTCTTTAATTACATAATTATTTATTTTTTTGCATGCAATTCACATATTTTCTTTTATAGAGATAATTTTTATAATGGACTCTTTAGCATTAAAAAAATATTAAATGATAATTTATTGAACCCTTCATACTAACTTGTACTAATTGTTTATATATATTTTTAATTAACAAAAAATTTAATATAATGCAACAAATTATTAGAAAAATTATTAAAAATAATATAATAGACTCTTTTGCACTAATGATAGATTGAAAACTCAACTTATTATATAAAAATAGATTGAAAACTTAACATGTTACATTTTGAGGAGTGTTTTTTTTAAAGAAAAAATAATGTGGTATTTTTAGGTGATTTGATAGGAAAAACTGACCGAAGTATCAATTGAAAACTTATTTAAATAACAAAAACATAATTAGCTTATTTAAAAATATAAAAATAAATTAAAAACTCAACATATTATATAAAAACATATCAAACTGTTAATCCATATAAAAAGAAATTAAGAGTAGAAATCACATTGAAAAAATATCAAAAGTGGAATGGCGTGTCATGCTATTAACCATTTTCTTTTCTTCTCTCCTTGGTTGTTTTTTTTTTTTTTTGAAATATTGTATGGTCAAGAAGAATATCCCGAAACCAGCTTGTTTGTTGACTGTATCACAGGCAAACTCAATTAAGCAGAGTAATTCCGAATTTCCATATTTCCTCACCACTTTTCTTGAAAAATGAATGAAAGTTTCTAATAGAACTTACATCTCCCTTGCCATAATAGTCCCAAAACAATCAATAAGAAGAAAAGATAAACAGTCTATTATACAATAATCTCATGCATCTGGACAAGTACAAAGCCTCTTAGTCTATACAATATACACCTGTTACGATGTGCTAGATGACACCCAACAAAAGCAGCAACAAAGAAGAGAACAGGACTAGAATCCTGCTAAATGATCCATGTCGCTGGCTTGCATGTGAAGGGGGTGAGGTAGGACTTGGGCTTGCAACAGCTGTGACATTTTCCTTCGAGCAAGTGTAATTGCAGCGACTGGGACGAACAACTCTATAAACACCACTGCTGGCTAGGATAAAATTATCCTTGCGGTTGTCCTCCCCAAACGAGAAAATGTAACCCAAAGATGGTAGAGCACTTCCTGGCACAGAAGTGCACTGGATGGGAGAGTCCCTTCCACAGCTGAAGGGAATTTTGGTGGAGGTAAAGTTACCACTATTTTCGGGTGTTTCAGTGCCTGCCCACATGGCTCCAGCATACAAATCTGCATACAAATACCTGAAACAAAAATAGGGAATTAGCAAGGTAACCACAGCATCTACAGCGTGAAAGGAGTGTGTTAGTAGTCCCGAGAAAGATTATTTCCTTATCAGGAAGTTGTGTAGGCAGATTGATTCTTGAAAGTGAACAGTATCCCCTGAGAATGACTTTGATAACTCTTCTGAGTGCTCATTAACATGCAGCGAGGTTAATTACTACATTTTCTAAATATCAGACAAAATCGACAAAGCTTACATACCTTCCAAACATGCATGGATCTGTCTGAGAGCGATAAAAATAACCACCCGTGATTGATGCTGACCCTTCATTCTTGTTTATGTCAGAGTGATAGTATCCCATAACTGGGAAAATGAAGCTCATGGACTTTGAAGATGTATTTCCTCCTGGTGACTGATGAGGAGGAAAGGGATTAGGTCCCTCATAAATGCGCCAACCGTAGTTTCCCCCTTGGTGATGATATCCACCTCTTCATATGTATCCTGTAGGAAAAGACCAAGCAAAATTGTCCATCATCTTACAAAATTCAGAAAATAGTGGCACAGAACGGATTTTCTGACTAAGTCATCTGAAGGACGCTTTTCTATAATTTTCTGTACCCCATTATGCTTTTAATGGCACCATTCTTCAAAAGAACTTAAAAAGTCTTTTTGCAACAAAATTCAATATAAACCTGATGCTATTTCTGCATCATTTGTTGCACACAGGGATAATCTTGAAGAACAAGCTGGCATGCATGGCCACATGGATCCTTGAAATTCTCTTTTAAAGCATGAAGGAAAGCCTGATGTTTTTTTTTTTTTTTTTTTTTTTGGAATTATTTTTAAAGGCTTGATTGATATGGAAAGGACCTAAGAAAGGAAAGTCTTCTAGGAAGGTGAAAGACCGTAATGGATGTTACTACTTCAGCCGTGGCACAGGAAAGAAAAGAAAGAAGAAAATTGCAGTCATAGGATTCAAGAAAATTACTTTATATACATGAATTGTTTGTCAAAATATTTTGGAAGAATAGGATCAAACCTGGCCAACATCTGCACACATAAAGTAGGAAGGCCTTTCTGAATCAAAGCTGCAGCGCCAGGGATTCCTTACACCTAAAGCCCATATTTCTGGTTGCAAATCACTATCTTCACTGAATGGATTATCTTTAGGGATGGAATAGTTTCCCCATAGACCAAGGTTATCGATTTCTGCAGCACCTGCAAGTCCATCACAAGAAACAAGAGAAGTAATTCTTTCAGCTATGCAACTCGGCTTCACAATCCACCACTTGCTGAAAAAGGAGAAAAGGAAACAGGAGCTTCATTTCTATGAACTCCATTGCATCCATTTTGAAATTCTCAAGGTCTTTTCTATTTTCATTTATCCTTTTCCTAATTGATCAAAACTTATGCATGAGAGAAGAAAATTTTTGCAAGATTTCTCTAGGTTCCAGAAAGGATAAACAAGACCAAAGGCTTTTACCTGCGTTTCTAACCTTATTATTTCTTCTGTAGGCAAACCAGGTAACCATGAGTTTACAATTCTAAGTATATAAAGGTTACGAACTGAGATGAGAAAATTGGATTACAAGCAATGTCCATGTTAAGGATTATATGAGATGCACCACATTGTTATTCACTTAAACCGTCAAGAAAAATCATTAAAAAGTCTCTCTCCTGACACTCACTCGGTATATTATCAACGTCAAGCCGCATGATCTTTCCAAGCAAAGATTTCTTGTTTTGCGAAAAATTGTGAGGATCACCACCTACACCACCCCCATCTCCCATCATGAAGTATAAATACCCATCACTAGGTCCAAAGAGAATCTGTCCTCCGTGATGAGATGTAAATGGAAGGCCCATTGTAAATATCCTTCTTACTTCCAAGGGTTTTGCAGTTGTTGCCTGGAAAAATATCAAAACTAAGTCACGATCATGGAATAAGAACATAAATATAAATTCCTGTGTATGAAGATGTATACCAAGGAAGCCTCCATTGCTGTGCCATTAGCTGTATACTCAGCAATAACAGTTTGATATTGGCATGGTTGGGCACCATTGTCAGGAGCTAGTTTTGAAGGATCACAATTGACATCTGAGTTGCATGAACATCTGCCTGTACATCCTGGCCACTTCACCTTATCACAATTAAATGAAGCAAAGAACCGACCATTTTGTGCAAAATTTGGATGAAATGCCATCCCCATCATTCCAAATTCAGTATTAAAATAAACTTCATCTGTTAGATCAATAAAAGGATTTGGCTCATCAAGCCCCAATGTTTCTCCTGATCCTTGTTCAGGAATAGTCGCCAACCAAATCTTACCCTGTTGGCTCGAGAAGAAAGCACGGTTAGACCCATCTGGATGCGCAACCATACTGATGTAAGATCCATTCCCAATTTTCTCAAGGCACAAGCCTCGTGTGGGACTCGATGTTTCAGTGTTATTGAGTGTAACAGGTTCACCATCAAAACATACTGATTCATCAGTAGATGCTCCACCAAATGCATTACAGAAGTCGGCTTTTGACTGCCAGAAATCAGTCAATTTGTTGAAACTGGAATTTGCTGGCAATCCAGTTTGACCTTTTAAGGAAGGAGCGAAGGGAGAATTCAATACATTTACATTTTGACATGTATCCCAAACATTAGAGCAGAAGTCATTTGCTGCTTGGCCAGAATCAGATGAATTTGCTGAAACAGTAGAATTGCAAAGAACAGCAACTGGCCTTGGTACAGAGCTGATAGTAAATAACTCTGCTGAAAATGGATCACATCTCTGTAAACCATAACAGCAAAAATCAATCACAATGTACGAGTTCTTCAAATTAGACAATCGTGCAGAGACTATCCATAAATATACATATCCATTGCTTTAGTTACATATAAGCTACGCCAGCCATTGTATACACGTAAAAAACATTGTACTGAGATTGGAATTAGAAGAAACACTTCACCATGAATGAGCAAGATCTATGTTTTCCCCATAATGGAAACGAGAAGTCGAGAGTAAATTGTTATGTGCAAAAGATAAAAATGGGGCACTATGAAATAGATCACAAATTGACTAGGAAAGCTTCCTGAGAAATACATTTTGAGATGATTATTTTTGTTTTTGTCCTCTACAGGTGACATTTTGATAGAGATCGGGCTTCTGTCGTAGAACCTTCTCTCTTCCTTCCACCGTGATGTCTTGCAAAGTCAAAAGGCAAAGATTCATGCCTTCATAACTAATCAAAGCATTGGAATGAAACCGTAGGCTTAAAGGTATACATACAGATAGCTATGTTTTTGAATAGGCAAGACCTTTCTATCGAGGTGGTGGGGGTGGGCTAAGCTAATCAGCAGCATTCAGACATGCTTGTGGACAGTGGATAGATAGTAGATATTGATTCAAAACTCTTCCTCAGTGGCTTAGGCTTAGTCCAGAGTCCATAAACAAATTATTGTACCAAGTAATTTATAGCAGCTTTGTTTAGTTGCAGAAGAGATGCGGACTATCTATGCATCTCTTTTGCAACCAAAACAAGGAGCTTGTATCAGAATCCTTAACAATCTAAAAATAGTCAGTCATCGTAATCGCAAGTATGATAGATTAATTTTGGACCATTTAATGCATTATCCCACTAACAGAGAGTGCTCTGATAATTAGTTTGTGCCACGAAAAAATCATAAACATTGAAGCTGTCGACATTCTTCTAACCAATAACTCTACACAACCTATCCGGGTTCAGATAAAAGAGTAATCATGTGGATTATCTGCAATTCATAAAAGATCCAGCAAACAGTGTCCCATACAGATTCAATATATAAACATACAAGACTTGAGATATGAAAACAAGATAGATAGAAAAACACAAATCAAATACGACCCAATATAGCATGTGAAGTCATCAAGTTACAAATGTCCCAACACACACAGCCTATGCCAAAATTAAAAGTGAGAGAAAATCCTTACAGCACAAAGGACGGATTTCAAAAGTGAAGCACAGGCAGCATCGGAGATGTTCATAGCTTGAAATTGCTTCTGTAATTGTAAATCATGTGTGGAATTGCAGCAGCTGCTGCCATTGTAAGGACAAAAACTCAGAGTGGTGTTCACCGTAAAGGGTGCTCCTATTACCAGCAAAAATCCAACAAAGACAGAAAATCATAAATAAGCCATTAAAGTTTACAAGTACAAACTGAAATAATTAAACAATACAGGACCAAAACTCACTTGAATCAGTACACAAAGGATGAGATTTAGAAGGATCAGGAAGCAACAGCAGCAGCAGCAGCAAGTTCAAGAACAGGAAGGCAGTAGCAGTAAACGCTCCCATCACAACAAACATAAAAGAAAGGAAAACGGATTTCTCGGTAGAAGCTTATCCCTTTTAATCTATAACAAAAATCATCTTAGGGAACAAAAGTCTTATGTTGACATAATTTAGAGGGAAAAAGCTTTTATGGGTGTTCAACATTCTGCCCGCCCACTACCAACTGCTCTACCTTTAAGCGTCCTTTAAGTCAGCTTCCAGAAGGGCAATCCTTGTCAAATCTTTTTCCCTCTCGCATTAGTTGTCAATTCAATTCTCTTCTGGATCGTGCACTAGCGTTCCCAAGTCAGGAACTTTTGAGTTTCGACATTGTCTATATCAGCTTCATGAATTCAATATTATCACCAGTAATTGAGCGGGTTTACACAGTTGACTCTACGCAAGTAGTTACTAGTTAATCTTTTAAAAGAGGTAGTTGAGAAGGAACCCACTTTTGGTGTGACCATAGCCATGATGATACCACGTTGGATAAATCTTGGTTGGTTCAATGTTGTGATGGACGAACTAATTACCAATGTACTTGTTGTTTGCTTCTATGTTTCATATGCTCAGACACATCCAAATGTGAATTAATAAAAGATGGATTCATCAGCAACGATGACATAAAATAAGAAGGAACGGACAAAAAGATTATGGGTTAAATGAGATCTGCCCATTTGCAATATGTGCAACTTGGTGATAGAAAAAAGGGTCTCTATCCGAATTCACATGCTCATCGTCAATGCTATACGACATTATCTGCTGTGAAATAATTGAATAATAAATGGGTTTAGTCAAAAAGTAGCTTTAACTGCGTAGGCATCAGACAAGGAAGCCAGGCGATGCCCGAAGGAGCTTCCTGATTGATATGTTTATTCAAAAGAAAAGAGGAGTGTCTCGCAACTAGACTAATCACCAAGCTGTGTCCCTTTACTTTTTCTTCTTTGAACCAGCGGCTGGGTCAACTGTCCAGTGACGCACAAGATGTGCTAGAAGTTGCATACGGTTGGAAATACAATTATTGTATGAATTACAAGATGTCGCAAATGTGGGGAAAGGAAGGAATTAATCAATTATGATGTGATTTATATGAAAGGCGTACTTGAGTTTTGACTTTAGAGCTTCTGCTATTTTTCCCTTTCCTTTCTTTCCATGCTAGGAGGCCATGAGGTATGAAGCCAGATAGAATGTCATAGAAATATGACGTACGATAGGATAATTTTAAAAATTTAAGATAGGATGCATAAAGAATACTTTAATTTTCTTAATATTTTAAATATCATTCAAAAATAATAAAAATATCAATATAAGAAATAATAGACATATATAATCCGTTGAATGTAATAAATTTATGGAATGATAAAAGCAAAACTTACATTTTCTTTACAGTTATTTTTAAAAATAGATATCTAAAAATTAAATATCTTGAAAATGATTGTGATGATTGTGAAAGGATCAATCACAATTTTATTTATTTATTGATGATTATGAAAGGATCAAGCAAATTTTTTTTTTTCTCTTTACATTAATTAGTGCTACCCATCTTTTTTCTTTCTTTTTTTTAAAAAAAAGAAAGAAAAATAGCTAATTCTTTGATCTAGACATAACAATTCCACATTCCTTGTTATGAAGATTATAAAAAAAAGATATAGTAATTTTGTTTTAATTTAAAATAACTCTAACAAATGAATGTGATCAATTGTAAAATTGCTTAAATTGACATTTTATATATATATAAAAAAATGATTTAAAAATGTTAAATGGAGCAGATTTCTAGGTTCTTTGAACGAAATTCATTTAAAACATGTACAAGTACTGGTATTTTAATACGCAAACCCCTTCCAATATTCTTAAAGCACCAATAATCATTTGCAGTAAAATCTTAATTAATGGCATTTACTCTAAGTCAGAAGAAATTTTACAGTTGTAGAATATGGGCGGCGGTGATTTTAATAAAAGGTTACGTAGTACGGCTTTCCCGTTTTAAGTCTTGATCCTCATCCACAGAATTTGGGTGCCTCCCCCCGCGGCAGCCAAAAAAAATTAAAAACACCAAACCTTCCAAATTTCGCATGAGAAAACACGTACTTGTATGAATAATAACCGATGAGTTGTGAATCTGAATGTTATAGTAAAATTGAGAAATGTGGCTGGCTCATGCAACTAGTGATGGTGGTTTTACGATTGCTAAGAGTGATGGAAGTTCTCTTATCGCTATATACTTGCAAAACAAATATATACTTGCAAAACATATCTTTATGGTTGGATTAAGACTTTTCGATACTCAATTAGTAATTGAAAGGTGACGAATTGACTTAAAGAAGCTTTTTTATGCTAACATGTACAAATTTAAGTATAATTTATAAAAGAGAGGAATTGTGTAAGATATAGAACCCGAGTTGATAGTATTTTTTTCTAAACCTTTTTTAGTTGAATTTAGATCACTTTTTTTTTATGATAGTTTTGGCCTTTATATAGACAGTTGTAAGTGCAACTTGCATGGTAAAGATGATAGTAGTGTCTTTTTCATTTTGAGTTAGTGGAAGAATCGATAAGATATGCTACTTTACTATCATTATATTTGATCATGAAATGATCTTAATGTGATCATGATGAGTGGTGATCTAATTGATATCATCATTCGAGATTTTTTATTAAATACTTTGTCTTGAAGTGATAGTGGAGGAGTGTAGTGCCTTTCTTTTCCAGGCCAAGACACCTTAATGTAGGAAGATTCCTAAGCTCTTCCTAGGAGACAACTCTGTCTTTTGAGGGCTCGGGCTAGTATGATGGATAAGTACCCTCTTAAGAGTTGTGGGTATGAGTTGGGCCTAATGGATTTTAGAGTTGTAAGCTTGTGTGTCTTTTCTATTAGGTTATACTAGGGTAAGTTCCCTATCATTAGTTTCCTCCATCCCAAGTCTTAGTTAGCATGCTTACCCTAGACTTAAAAACCATTAACTGTGGCATTTCAAGAGGTGTGTCTCCTTGCTAAGGGAGATTTATCAATGTTCTTTCCTTTGGAATTTGCTTGGTTCAAATTGATCAACGATCTTTTTCTTCTAAATTTTATTGCTTCAAATCTTATGGTGATAAGTGAAGAAAGGGTAATCATTTGTATATTGGGGCCTCTATTGCCACAAATGGTCGCATCTTTTGTGTTTACTACAAGGATAATGATTATTCTTATTTAAAGCATGCATGCCAACCTATTTACTTATGTTGTATTGCTACATCATTTGAGGTCGTCTATTGGTTTTGGAGTGTTATGATTAGTGAAAAAGGCCCTTCTTTACCTATATATAGGCTTTGTTGCAGGAGTCTCCTTTTGCTTTATGGGCTTTAGACTTTATTGTGCGAATTTTTTGATGAGCCATTTGGCATTTCCTTTAGTTTTTTTGGAGAAAAAATTTTTGTTTTTTGCTTTTTTATACTTGCCTATCTTCTTTTGGTTTCAAGATTAATTTTCCTCATTAAGGTACTTATTTATTTCGGATCTACACTTGGTGAGGTAATTTTTTATCTTTTTCTCTGCTCTTTTCTTTTTATTAGATAAAAAAAAGTGACTTGGAGAAGGTTCGAGGTATGTTTGGGGTCGTGCCTAGTAGAGTTGTGAGAGAAGGTTCTAGTTCTAGCATAGACAAGTCTTTCATTGATCAAAATGAGTCTTCTTTCACTATTAGAGGTTTGAGTAGTGTGTCCGGTAAGAGACTGGTCGTTATATTTATTTAATAAAGGATAATTTCCTTTTGATTTCGGCCTACCGTAGAGATAGGATGAATGCATCCTTTTCCGACACTATTGAAGGGAACTTGGACACTATTATTCTTACGAGCATGTTGGAGTATGACTTTACATTTCTTTTCACTAGCTTTGTGCTAGAGGTGTTTGATCATTTTTGCCTCGAGTGTGGCTAGATTCACCTGAATGGATGGATGATTTTGGTTGTCTTCAATCGTTTTTACCAAAATCACAAGGTCACTCCAACTTTTACGCTTTTTAAATACTCTCACTTTTTGACTTCTAGAGATGGTTAGGTTGGAAAAAAGACTCAAATGTACACTTTTATGGCTTGTATTTTAAATCTATTAATAAAGGTATTTATGGAGGGGCTCTAATTTAGCAGGAAATTGAAGAAATGAGTGGTTTATTGCTAGGTATCAAAGGGTCCCTCTCTAAGGTCGTGGTTGGAACATTTAGAGGTGTCCCTCTTTATGAAGGTCTTCTCGAGATAATCTAGATAATTTTCCTTTTCGAGTGGAGTGTTTAGTTGGCCTTTTATAACCTAATGAAGAGTAAGAGAAGGAAGTATAAGGATAATTAATTAACTAGAGGCGGCCCTTAATTCATAGCTCGTTAGGTAGATAACTAGATTATAGTTTGAATTTGTTTGTACTTGTGTAATCATTTGTTGTTTTTGACATTCTTAATATTTATAGTGAACTTACCGTCCGAGGTGGGCATTGATCCTAAGAGGTTTGTCATGAAACCATTCATGCTTCATGTGGAAGAGGATGCTACTAAAGATGGAGCTTCATCCTTGATGTCGATCCCTATTTTTAGGGTCTGCTATTTGGGAGAAACCGCCCATTAGTGCTTGGAAAGGTTGGAAGCTCTTATGTACATCTCCTAAATAAGAAGGCTAATCTCTCTTTAATAAATAGATAAAATACTCTTCCTTTTCCTCTTACTAAAAAAGTCATTCCTTTGATATTGATCTTGGAGGATAAGGCTTCTTTCAAGCCATAAAGGCCTCTAAAAGAGGTAGTAACTACCTGTGTTTTTTCTTAACTAGGAGGTAAGGTTGATGGAGATCGTGTAGCTATGATGATCTCTCCTCTTATCCAACGATTGGGGAAGAAAGTCATTTAGGCTTCAATGATTAAGTCAAATCAAGCACCATAAGGTGTACCCCCGCCCTCTCTCTCTCTCTCTTTATGGAGTTGCTCCATTTATGATATGAGCTATTTGGCGATGATGTTTCTTTGAAAGAAAAGAAAGGGAAAGACTCTCTTATATTTTAG